TCATTAAAGACTTGATAAGAAGGGTTGATAACTCACGTCTCTATTGGCAAACTTCCATATCAAGTTGATGAATTACTCCAACAAAATGGTGTATTTTTTCTTCTACCAAATAATATGATAATGAAAACTTGAAAATTTTCTTCATCAATAAAATGGATCTCTTCTTAAAGATCCAAAATTTTTCTTTCACGCCAATATATTTCATATTGATAAATTTGAATAGGAAAATCCAATTCGTTTGTCATTTCTTTTTCTAAGCCTTTTTCAAGGCACTCATTTTCCCTTTGTCATTTTCATTTAGCCATTATAATGATAGTCCCACTGGGCGTGCCAAAAATATATGTTGATTTTTTTAGCTTTCAAAATTTAGAAATGTAATTAGAACATGCCAGCAAGGATCAATAAGTTCTTACAGAAATAATAAATGCCACCAATTAATCAGACAATTGCTTCGAAATTCTCTTAGCCTTAATGAAGATGACTTTTACTGGTGGCTTGTTTTAGGAGAAAATTCAAAAGTATTAATCAAAAGTAAAAGAAGGAGGGAGAGAATAGTGTTAGAAATTAAATTTCATTAAGTAAACAAATGTTTATAGTAGTACCTTTACACTTTCACAGCTTCGAAGGGAATTATAGCAACGAATAGACTAACTTCGAACTACTCCTAAGAAATTGAAATGAAGCGCAGGAAAGTAAAGAACCAGAAGGAAAATATAAAGTAAATAAATTGGTTTCTAAATCTGGTTCTAGTGTCCCCGTAAATGTAGTCATCGATGGCTATTTATAGGAAAAAAACTTCCAGTAATAACTACTCAATAACCACCTAAAACTACCTACTCTTCCACCTTCATTCCCACAATGCCACATATCCCTCCATGTCTTCCACTAAGTCACTTTGTCCATCATATTCTCCACATGTGCTTTAACTCCTTCCACCTTGTCTTCTATGTTCCACCATGCAAGACCACTAACTTTGTAACTTCTCTCAACTCCTGATTGATCAAGAAAGTGTCACGTGTCTTGCAATTTTAATAATAGTAATAATAATGATATTACTATTTATGATGTCAACAAATTATCTATTTATATTCAACCTTATTGTCATATCACATAATTCAACTCTCTAATTACGAAAGGAAAAAACTCAACTAATCATACATACTAGTGAAAAATCTTATCTGCTCCAAGTTGTACAGAAGATCATTCACTGAGTAACTCACCCCTTGCATTGAGCTTTACCCACAAAGCAAAGCAACTTGCACTTTCACCAATTCACATAAATCCTCCAAGTTATATAGTGAAATCAAATAACTAACAATAAAATTTAATTGTGAAATCATTTTCAAACCATTGAAGCAACACCAACCGAGCAATGACATTCAATAAAGTGAAATGTAACTTTGAAATCAATGATCAAACCATAAATGAAAATGAAAATGAAAAACCAATAGTTTCCGAAGTTTTTGCAAACATAAAACACAAATTAATTTGTGTTGTAAGCATAAAATGTTAACAAACGGTATCCAAGTGGTTTTTGGCTACACGTTTACAGGATCAAACAATTTCACCATCCCATAAATCCTGGAGAGATTTGTAAGGGCCTTCATCTGATATGAACTCAACTCCAGCACATCCTTTATACTGTGAAATTTGATTTATCATCTCAGAGTCTTGTGCACTTAGCTCCCAATCAAATATGTGAAGGTTCTCTTTCATCCTTTCCTCACTGAAGCTCTTCACCAGAACACTCACCCCTTGCTCATAAACCCATTTGAGACAAACCTGTGAATATCAAAACAAGGAAAATATTATTAATAAATAATAATTTTTTTTTTGGAGTTTTTTTTGTGATTACATTTTTTATTCACGACCAGATCCATTGCAAGTGTCTGGGTAACAAAGCCGAGTAGGGTGTAGTCAGGGAGATAACTGTTGGTATTTTTTTTATAATAATATATGAAAAATATATAAAATAAATTAAATAGAAATTACAAAACAATTATTATTTTTATTTATTATTAAAGAATGAAATATACAATAAACTATAAAAAAAAAAACACAAGAATGAACTAGATTACATTATGGAACATATTACAAGATGAATTGAAATGGACATATAAAATAATATACGAGAAATTATTTAAATTTAAAACTTTGAAGAACAAAAGATAAAGGATGCAAATCGAAGCCTGTGTGATACCACAATGTCTTTAAAATAGATTCACCGCCTCCTGATGGATGCTAGAGGTATGCCGACGTTTGTCTCCCAAGATACGACGATCAAAACCAACTAATGTAGAAGTACCTTCTGAATAACTTTGGCGAACTTGACAATTGTTGCACTCTCTCTAACAAGAACCAAAGAAGGGGCTAACAAAAGAAGATAAGAAAAATTTTCTTTTGGTGGAAAAAAAACATCTCCAACTTTTTATCTCAAAATACCACCTCCACTTTCCATAAAAAATCTCTCCAAAATTCTCTTTCCAAGTTGGAGGGGAAAGGCCTCTATTTATACAAGTAGGGGAATTCCTAACCATGAAGGCTATACATCAATAGGGCCATCAAATACCATTAACCAAGGCCATCAACTCTAGCCATTAGGGCTAGAGTTACAAAGGTCGAAAACCTATGGCCACTAATATGGTCATCAACTCCATCATCAAAAGATGAGAGTTACAAAGGTCTAAACCTCCTATGTGCTTAATATATACAAATAAATATGTATATAATGATGTTTCAATAAACCAACTAGATGGGTCATGAAATGGATATTAATGTTAGGTCATAACCCGATCCAAACAAAATTCTCAAGCACATGCATAAGTTAAGCCCAACACAATGTAGCTTAGTCAAAGCTTAGGATTAAGTCCAAGTCTAAATGTAAGACCAAACCCAACACATGCAGAAGCACAAGTTTAGGCCCAGTCTAAACTAAGACTAAGTCTAAGTCTAAATCTAAACCCAACTTTATTGATGCCCATTTTATGAGACAATTCTCATTCACAACTCAATGATTTCGGCTCATTATCTTTATATTATAATCTTCTCACTTGAGAGAATATAAAACTACTCAGGCCCACCTCAATCGGCGGTTGGATCCCACTTTAATTTCGAATTAAAGTTACCGAAAAACTATTATTTTCCAACAATAACTCCTAAGGAGAAAAGGGGTTTATAAGAGGCATCAAACCAATTTCTTTATTAGTTAATATACCTTATAGAATAATAGAATATGGATAAAAATAAAATAATAGAATAATAGAATAACAAACCAAGCATAGAATTTGGTGTTGGGATCCTCTAGAGTGATCCTTTATGGCACGACACCTGTCACACTAATGAAGCTAATGGTTGAGATCAATTCTTTACCAAAACGACGTCGTTTTGGTGATAAAAAAAAAATAAAAAAATCTAGGTTTTATAGTTCGAACGCGAGAGAAGAGAGAGAGAGAGAGAGAGAGAAGAGGAAGAGAGGAGGAGCTGAGGAAGAACTTCACGGCGTCGCCTGCCGCTCCGTCGAAGCACTAAAGATCATGGAGAGTAGATAATTTTAGATATGCAAATAAAAATCATCTTCACATGGCAAAGATAATTTTACATAGTAAAGATCTGCAAATACAAATCAAAGATCTTCACATAGGGATTAAGCTTTGCAAAACCTTGAAGAACAGTTTCGTCGGTGTCGATGGCGGCGGCAGCGACTACCTGGTCCTCCACCCTTGCTGACGGTTGCCAGTTGCTCCCTAACCCTCCTCCGGCCAACCATTCTTTCCCCCACCCCTCCGCCTCCATCTATCGCCAGATTGTTCCATTAGCAAATCGAACTCAAAATCCATAAGGGAAAAAAAAAAAAGTCTCAAATTCTCAAAAAATCTGGATCGAAGAGAGAAGTAGAGATGGCAATTTAAACTCGGCCCGGCGGGGACCCGACCCCCCGACTCCAATTAACATGGGGTTTCCTCGAAAAATACCTCCGACGGGCCGGGGACGGTATTAAAAAAAAAATCCCTGATCATTTTTGGGCCGGGGATGGTGATAAGTTCTTCCGCCCCCGGCCCTGGCCCTGGCCCTGTTCCCCGTCCCGTTTCTGCCCCGCCTCCCTCTCCTCTCTCACTCACCAACCCACTATATATAATATATACTCATCTCTCTCTCTCTTATCACAGATTTAACAAAACACACCTCCTCTCCTCTCTCTCATTTTAGATCTCTCTCTCTCTCATCTCAGATCCCCTCTTCCTACACTGCTCTCTGTCTCTCGTCTCTCCGCTGCCATGGCCGCACTCTGCCGCTTGATACTAGCGGCGCAACCAGTCTCCATCTTCTCTCTGAAGCTCGTTGCACCAGAGCTTTGACAGCTCCGCCACTCGTTGCTCTACCGTAACCAAAGTCTCCATCTTCTCTCTCAAGTTCGCCGCCTGTCACCGATCGAGACCTCTCTTTTCTCCCTGTGTGTCTGTGTGTGTGTGATGATGATGATGATGGCGACTCAGATCTCAGATCTGCAGATGTGTGTGTGTGTGTGTGTGTGTGTGTGTGTGTATCTCTCTCTACTCAGATTTATTTGTGTGTTGTTAATGTTGTTTAATGATATTGTTGTTGATGATGTTGATGTTGAGGATGTTGTTACTACTGTGTTTGCTTCTTTTTTTTTTTTTTTTTTATGGATCCGGGGAATTTTCGGGGTCAGGGAAACCCAATCCCCGTTAGGGGACGGGGACGGGGATGGTAATAGGTTCCCCGTCGGGGATCGGGGCCGGGGACGGGGACATTCTTACCATCAGGGATCGGGGATGGAGAGGGTGATGGCCCGTCCCGCCCCACCCCATTGCCATTCCTAGAGAGAAGATCAATTGAACAAAGTCATCAAAATTGAAAGATCAATTGATAGTTTACACATAATTTTGAAATTAATTTTATTTTTTTTCTTTGAATCATGTTCCCAAATATATATATATATATATACACACATTTTGAAGCCTGTCTTTCTTTTTGTTCTATCACACAAACACCCATTTGTGTGTTCCTTGAAGCTTCTTGAAGAATAGCTTCGCTAGCGAGACATCGTTGAGCCGCTCAAGAGCCAAAATAAGTGCTTGGGTGCCCAAATCACCTTCTCCATAAGCCTTGAGAGAAAGATAAAGTTGTTGAGCTAATCCCAATCCAGGCAAAGCAAAGCCCATATTCTGACACTGCTTCAAACAAATCCCCAAATCTTTCACAAAAAACCCAGCTTCAAAATCTCTATTCGAAATCCTAGTCCCATACAAATCAACCGATTTCGAACTAGTAGCACCAGCGGAAATCACATCCAAATACAGAGACAATTCAAGTCCAGCCTTGTAAGCATAAATCAAACCCTCCACTTCCTTCTTCCTCACCCCCTCCTCTCTGCGTTTGCACTACTGAAAGTCTGAAACTCAAAATTTTTTTTTTTGGATCACTAAAACGACGTCATTTTTGTTAGGGATTAATCTTAGCCATTGGCTTCATTAGTGGGACAGATGTCGTGCCATAAAAGATCACTCGAGAGGATCACTTCACCAAATCACTCCATAGGATTCCAATGTTAGAATTTGAGGGCAAAGAAAGAAAAGAGAGGGATGGGGTTTCTCTTGCTTTTGGCATAACAGGCCCCAGTGGAAGGTTTGCAAGACAGACAATTAGCTTAGTGGTAGAGAGCGTCCCTAATAATTGCGTCGTTATACCTAGGCTATGAGGGTTTTTAGCCACATGGATAGTTCAATGTGTTCATCAATGCCTGATCCGTAGAAAACATTCATTAATTTTAGAGAAGCCAATATGGGGCATTAATTGGGGGTAATTCCATTTTTCTTTCCCTTTAGATTCATCAAATGTAAGTTTTAATGGGTGACTTAAAAAAAAGGTAGATAATAATAAAAAAACGAAAAAAAAAATACTTTGATTTCCCTTGAAATTTGTTAAATATTTAATGAACTCCCCAGTGTTAACATAATTATCTTAACTTAGTTTTCAATAATCAAAATTACCCTTTTATACACATTTATTATAGGGTAAATTACACCAATAATTCCTGAAATTTTCTTAGTGTTAATTTTTTAATATATAATTTTGCTTTTTAAATAGTAAAATAAGAAAATCCACGTAGGCCTTTCTTGGGAAGTGAGTTAAAAGTTATTTCTTAGTTTTTAATCAATTTTGAGTTTTATCATCTCTCATTTTTTTTATATATTTTTTTAAAAAAGTCAAAAAGTCAACTTTTAACAATCTTCTCAATGATATAGCACTCTATATACAGTCTAGATAGATGAGTAAATTTGATGAAACCTTACCTGGGCAACAGATTTTCCTCTAGCACCTCACATTCCATGACGTGGTTACTTCCCCAAATTGTTCCCTTGGCGCCCAAAGGAGAGTAAGCTGTGATATGAACACCATTTTTCTCACAAAACTCTCTTAACTTCTTCTGTTGCCAAAGTGGGTTCATCTCGACCTTGCAAAATACAACATTAAACTACTAAGTTAATAGAGGAAGATAAATTAATAGGAATCAAAAGCAATTACTGTTTAAAAAAATCAAAAGAAACAAAAGTAGACTTTGAACGTGATAGCAATAGCAAAGAAAATACAGCAATTCTATTAATCTAAAAAAGTTTTTTAGATTTATACCCAGAATAAGATTATAAGCTGGAGATTTAATTGCTGGAATGTTGGCTTATTTGAATCATATTTATTTATTTTTATTATGAAAGTTTGGATAAAAAAATCTGAGGCTTTGTTTCACATTCATTTGGCATTGTATTAAAATAGTCCGAAAATTAAAAGATCATTATAAATTGTTATATCATTTTTTTTACTTTTTTACATTTTTTTTTATAAAAAATTAACTAAAATAATCATGTAATAG